GCAGGAGTAAATTGGGTGATGATCCTATGTGCTGCCTTAAACTGTTGCAGAAAACCTGGGTGGAGAATAGGCAGAGCAGCCAAGCGGGGGGGCGGGGACACGCAGGAAGTAAAGGATCCCTGCAGTGCCTCTTCTTCCTCCTCCTTACAGCTAGCTCGGCAGGCAGAAAAGGACACACTTCCCTCTGGCTTATATTGATTCTTTCTATTCAGTGGTTGAGTGGCAAAAGCAGATATTAAGCTCAAATCTCTGCAGCCTCATGTACTGGACTTGGAAAAGTACAAGAGGTGTCAAAGAGAAAACAATGCTTCCTTCTAACTTAGATGTTTGCTTTCCTTCTGCTGTGCGTTAAGTCCACAGCCTAGTTGATTCCCATCAGAAACTAGCACCCAAGTAGTTCTTTGGTGTGTGCGTCTCTCTTTTCCTAATGGATTTTACAAAAAGAGAGATCTGTCCCATATTTGTAATTGTTAAATCCCACTGCTGCTGCTCTCACAAGGATTGCGGTAAAGAGGTAGGTAAGAATTTCAGCTCTATAGAATAAGTGTGTGTAGCCACAGAAAAGGATTTTGGGGGTGAATCAGAATTCTTGATAAAACTGCTGAACTGCTTTATGTTCTCATAGACTGGGTCTTCAGCTTTTAAACTTGACTGTACTCTTTTTCTCTATAATTTTTGAAATCTGGATTAAAATCCTGAACAGCAAGGCCGGAGCACCTATTGCTCTGCTATTTTCTATCTGTTGTTATTCCAAATCTACCTTTTTTTTTAATTTAGGATTGGTGAGAGTACGTAACACTTCCTCTGTTTTCGTTTAGGTTTGATGTAAAAGTTATACAGCACTGATTGTATCTTCTCTTAGAAAGTAAATGATATTTTCTGTATTTCTTGCATTAGAACAAGATGCTAAACTACTGACCCAGTAATCTGGTGATCTAACTAATGCAAAAGGCTATGTATTTCTAGGCAAAAATTGTGAAGAGGAGTTCTGGGTAGTGCCTATTTTGGTGTTGAAAGTATCTTGAAAATCTAGTGTTTTTGAGAGTACCTAACCTGCCTTTAATGGATCAAATAACCATATAAATGTGGATGTTGAATTTTGGAACTTTCCCCATCTGATTAAAGTCTGATAAAATCACAAACCTTACCACATCTAAGAGAAGTGAAATATGAAATCTCTTCTTATGCTTAACATGAAGACTGTAAGATAAGTGTTTAGTTTTGCATTAGTTGTACTTTGTGCTACTTATATATATGGCCATATTTTAGAGGTGGTCTCAAAATGAAAGTGTTCATTGGGCTTTATTTTAAGTTGGCACTTCTTTCAAAAGAAGCAGTTCTGCCCTTCTTAGCTATTGCACTGTCACTTTCCTTCTGTAAGCCTGAGAACTGTACCAGACTGGGGAGCTTCATCTCACTGGGAACTGCTGCAGGCTTTTTTGGCTGGATTTGTTTCAGGTTTTTGACACACACTGTGATCTTGTTCATGATGCAGCTGTATAAATGCATGTGCCAGCAAAAGTGAGGAAATGACACCGCTGTGGGAATGGGAGATGAAGAACAGGAGACTTGCTTTCAACGGCACTGCTCATTCATGCTATTTTAGATAGTAGCTTGAGAAAATGATGATTTTTATGTGTGCCTCTTATACCTCTCTACACTTTTTATTTTTTTCTCTGCAAGAGCTCTTCCTTCTATTTCTTCAGCAAATGCAGAAAAATGCAGTGAGATTTGGGTGTTTAGTTCTCATTAAACTACCACTGGGGAAAAGGACTAGGTAGATTAAAAGATTTGAGTTCTTCTAAGGAGTTTGGGGACCAGGAGGAGGCAACTAAGAATGTGACCGTCTTGCAGTAAGTGTGGTGAAAAGCAGGAAATACTGAACGGCTTAGTATGTACTTGAGTGCCTTTGGGTTCAGAAACTAATGAGCATGAGCATGGTTGCACGGCTCGTGTGCTCTTAAGGACACATCAAGGTTACGTGAATTGCAGGGCCTGGCCTCCTCTTGGTTTCTCTGGCAGATTAAGGTGTATAGGCAGCTCTGGGTAGAAAAGGGTTCACTGATTTATTGATTTGTATCATTCGTGCTATCCTCTCTCTTGTGATGTAAAATAGTTCGATACTTCCCCTAGTGCTTGTAGGAGAGAGGGAGAAAAAAAGAGTTCTTAAAAGCTGATGGTACTTAAGTGGCCTGAACTTCAACATAAGGGGTGCTTGGCCAGCACTGTAGACTAGGCTTAGGCAATCCTTCTGAGGGATTGTGGAAGAAACTGGAAAAATAGGTAGCTGCTTGAACACAGGATCCTCTGTTGGTTTTAGGCCCTAGTGTGAGGTTCTCTCACATTTTCTGAGAAGCACTTAGGAACATAGAAGCTAGACTGGCCGAGGCATCTCTTTTTAACTGAACTCTTGGGGTTTGGAATTCACAGAATGTGATATTGTAAAATGGCCCTCATGGAAGGGCCTGAAGATTTTGGACAGGTATTTAATTTCTTTGGGGACAGAGAAACACAGGGTAGCAGACTGAATTGCTGATTTCAAAATCTGTTCTTAGCTTTACTTTTTTAAGCTTCATGCAAGAACAGAGAATGTGGGGAAAATAGAGAAAACTCATGTTCTGGCTTTGTTATGTTAATATTTTGCTGTACCAGTTGTTCTACTCATCTTTTCAGAAAAAGTAAAAGCTGAGTAAACTAAATGAGATTGTCAGAGATCTGACATCTTCCTTCTGCTGCCAAAGTGTAAATGAACATATGTGCAGGCTGCTGCTATGTCTGGGACTTGAGCTATTTAGGAGGCTTAGATCTGTTAGTTAAACTTTGGCAATTTAGATACAAATATATACAATAAGCAATTGAGTTGTTATTGCGTACGTTATATGCATGTATGTGTATATAGGAGAGCATTTAATTACATATAGAAGCATCTCTCTCTATATATATGAACCTGAACTCCTGGGACCATTTTAAGCTTGGTCATAATTAAAGGTGGGTATCTCTGACTAGTCTGCTGCATGAGCAGACACACATGCAAACAGGTACTTAGTGCCAATAGTGAACACTAAAACTAGTTTTATAAATCCCTGTAGAGTGTAGGGCTCTGTGATGTGCTGCTAGGAAGCTGGAGATTTGTGATATGGCTTGGTTACAGTATTAAACTTACCTGTCCAGACTTTGGTCTGGTATCTTATCAGCTGAGGCATTGATCTCCAAAAGTCTTAATGTTCAGTGAAGCTTTTAAAAGCATTAAGTTACTGTTCACTGACAAACTGTGTTTTGGGGCTTATTGTAGTCACAATATAGTCTTCAGTTCTGTGAATTTCAATTGCTAGAATTTCATAGGAGCAAATTTTAGAGCAAAGCAATAGATAACCAGAATGCTGTTGTAACAGCAAGTTTTTATCAAGTGAAAAATGGTGCCTTTCTATAGGGTTTTTTTGTCCCTTTAAAAATTCCAGATACAACACCTTCGTAAAATGTAGTGACAAATAGCACTGTTGTCCACTGAAAGACTGGACTCTTGTGCTTCTCCCAGTCTTGTGTTTGCATCTGTTAAAGTTGATGTTGACTGTGCCCTCTCTTGGAAGAGTGTGGTGGAGAATATTTTAGTCAGTGAACATATGAAGTCAATATACTGCCATGTTTGACCAAGGGGAAAAAAAAATGTATTTAAATGTAGATGGAAATTATTATCATATTAACTCTCCATGTTCAGTTAAATGAAGGTCTGTAGTTGCAAAGGCCTCTCGAACCTTTCTGTTTCAAGACTTGTTTCCCACTGACAATAGGGAAAGGGAGAAGGTTCATGTCTTGATGTCTCCATTTGATGGGAAGCAATATCGTATAGGATATTGGGAGAAGTACTTTCTGGTTAGGACGTGAATCATGATGCTTGTACTACTTCATTTATTTCTGTACTTCAGATTCCATGATTTTCATTTTTTGTTTAGTGATTTACCAGTGACACAGGGTCAGATGTATCCAGTATGTGATTTCAGCTTGAAAATGTGAGCTCTTCAGATACCAGAATTTGAAAAGGATGTCTTTATCCTCTCTCATTCTGTTGTCTTAAATACAGAGTTTGAAGCTAAAGGCTGAATCAAGTAAAACTGAGTGTTAATTTTGCTGTTGTGGACAATTGCCCCCGAAATAGAGCTTCTGGCCATGATTAAGTGATGAAGTTTGGCGCTCTGCCTGCAATTTTTTGCAGAATTCCCAGATGGTCATATTTCATGGCCGATTTGCTTTACGGATTTGAGTAGCTGGTCATGCTTAGATTTTGTTTAGCTCTCCCTCAATGGCTTTCGCATGTATTGGAAAAAGGATTGCTGTGTGTTGCTGAAGGGCTTTTATAAAGGTCTGTATTGCTAAGCTCATTTTCCTGAACTCACAACAGCAGTGATGCAGGAGTGTTGTTGGAGTATAGTAGGTCTTCTGGGGAGAGCTAAGATACAGGAAGGTCTTTTTTTTTTTTTTCCTTTTGCTTTTTTTTTTTTAAACACTAGACGAGTTATTTAATGATCCAGCCAGATTATTCTGGGCTAAGGTTTTTCCTATCAATCAATCTATGCCAAAATTACTTAATAAAATGGCATGTTGGAAACATTCTGGGAAGCAGCAGAATACTTTGAAGACTGTGGGTTTGTGCATTAGTGTTACCCAGGAAACATTTCCTTTCATTTTCAGTCCGGTCTGTGGACTCACCTCTAACCAGCATAATTGCTGTGGAAACGAAATGATTCTCCTATCATAACTGAGAACCTAACTGCCAAAGCCTTTTCTTACGGAAGTGTAGCTGAGAAATAAGGGAAAAAAAGTGTTTGCAAAAGTCACTAGCAAACAGATGAACAGTAAGATTGGGGTCAGATTTGTCTATAATTTCCACTAGTGGGGAATTCAGACTAGTTGTCTATTAAGTAAAAATAGCTGGTCTGTAAACACAATCAAAACTTAAATCAAGTGGGCCTCCCAGTTTCTCTGTTGTTACTTGTATGTTCCAGGGCGTCAAGCCAGCCAGCTTCGATAAAGTAGCCATCCCTGAAGTGAAGGAGATTATTGAGGGATGCATTCGGCAAAACAAAGGTGAAAGGTAAGTACTTTCTTTTCAGGTAGAAGTATTACCTGCTGTCTGAGTCTTTTATCTGTGATAATACTAGATCCCGTTAGTTCCTGGGGTCTTCTGGTGAAAGTTGAGAAGTCAGTATTACTGCTGCAGCTCCTATTCTTTGGTAGATTCTTATTCAATGATTGTTTTAGAGAATTAACAGTGTCAGGAAAAGTGCAGATGCTACAGTAACCATCCATGTCAGTTTATTCAGAAATTCTACTGCTTTTATTAAAACTTTGACCTAGTCAGCAAAATAGTGGAGGACAATCCTTCCAGGGTCCCAGGTATTTGGATTGGTTGGTTGGTTTGTTATTCTGTAATCCTTTGTATTTCCTGTCCCTTCTGATTTGTGTGGCATTTTATGGAGGATTATTTTGAGGGCTCTTTTCATTTTTTCAATTCTTGCTGCTCATTTGCACCTGCATTTTCTGCAAGATGACTGCTACTTGAAGTGATTAATTTATACAATTACAGGAAATCTGTAACTGCTCTGATGGCTTATTTGTGAGGTTTATTTTGTTTTCTGCTTTTACATAGTTGTTTCTTACTGAATGTCCTATTTAAGAATGCTTCAGCCTTTGGCCCTCCTCTGGCATCCTGCTATTCTGTTTAGAGCTAGTTTTGTAGGTTCATGGATGTTTATTCACCCCCTTCTATTAACTCTTGAAGTTTTATATCTAGTGACATTGCTGTGTATTTTTAATTTCTGTTCTTTTTCTTAGTTTTCAACAGTTTCATATTTTTTCCTCATTTTAAGTTAATTTTTTGGCTGCACATCACTTATTTCTTGCCATTTAGTTTAAGCGGTTAACTTTTAGACTACTACTGTTAATGCTGTGTGTATATGAACATAGATATTTTTTGTACCTTCAGGAAAAAGCTTCTAATTGTGCCAAACAGAATGCAAGTTGAAGTAGTTCAAAGTAGTATAAAATATGAAAGGAATCATGTGGTGCTTATCTAGTGCTGAATTTAATAAATGAGGCTTTTGACTCATATAAATGACTGAAATACATATTTGGATTACTGTACTGATTTGGGGACTAAGGATTGTGTGTTGTATCTTAATGGTCAGTAAAATGAAACTGTTTCTTCAAGGTTTCTTATGATTTTAGTTAATATGTATTCTGTTCAGTTGGCTTGAATCTGCTGGTACTTCTGCTGACCAGTGTATGGTATCTTTTTTGTGTACATCTGTAGCATTGTTGCATTTTGTTTCTCCATCATGTTTTTAAACTGAAATTTAAATGATGGACTGTCAAATAGTTCATGGGAGAAGTGCGAAATGTAGAGAATAAATTTGGGGAATCATCAGGCAAGGATATTCCTTAATATTTTATAAAAGTTAGTAACTGTGTGTGCTTTCTGTATTCTTTCCCAATATGGTAGATATGCTATTAAGGACCTTTTGAATCATGCTTTTTTCCAAGAAGAGACTGGAGTACGGGTAGAACTAGCAGAGGAAGATGATGGAGAAAAAATTGCCATTAAACTCTGGCTGCGAATTGAAGACATCAAAAAACTCAAGGGCAAATATAAAGATAATGAGGCAATAGAGTTTTCCTTTGACTTGGAGAGAGATGTCCCGGAGGATGTAGCACAGGAAATGGTAAGTGTTGGTGGTCTTACAAAGCATCGGAAGTACTGACGTTCTCTGAAAGGTAGTTTGTTGGCAGTTGTTACCATCTAGAAATAAAACAGCTTCAGAAGTTTGTGAATGAGAAGTTAGTGCCAGAGAGTGGTAGCTTTTGTTGTAGCACAACAGTGGCTGTCTATGACAGTCTGAATTCTGTGAATATATCCTCCTTCAGGTGGAATCTGGCTATGTCTGTGAAGGGGATCACAAGACAATGGCGAAAGCTATCAAGGACAGGGTATCTTTGATTAAGCGAAAGCGAGAGCAGCGTCAGTTGGTGCGAGAAGAACAGGAGAAGAAGCTTCAGGAAGAAGGTAGTCAGAAGCAGCAGCTGGAGCAACAGCAACCATCAAGTGCTTCCCATGCAGGGTCAAAGCATACCCTATCTGTCACTGGTACTACTCCTGTCCCCACTACTTCAGCATCGGTTTCTACACAAGTGGAGCCTGAAGAACCAGAAGCTGATCAACACCAACAACTGCAGTTCCAGCAACCCAGTATATCTGTTCTTTGTAAGTGTGTCAGTTGGTTTATTTAGGAACTCTTGCACTTACATAGTTCCCCTCCTTAGAGTCTTAAACTTTTGGTGGGTATAGCAGTAAATATCTTAAGATGTTGCTGTCTGCCATTGCTGTCTGCTGAAGAACACTAGACCACTAGAAAGCACAGCAAAATAAGATGCGTTTCTGTGCCTTAGCTGAGCCAGGTTTTGGCACAATTCACAGTCTGATGTCTTAGCGCAAAATCATTTTCCTTTGTTTCAAGTTAATACACTAAATGAACTGGGGCACCTGAAGCATGAACACACGTCCTAGTTTTTGCTGCCTTCCTATAGGGACAGTATATTCTGGCCCTGCAGAAGGCTGTATCCTCTTGCACCAGTGCAGTTAGAGCTATTAGAAACACTTATTTGAATCCTTGTTAACTTACGATTAAGGTGGAAATGAGATTAATGTACAAGCAGTTCAGCTCATAATTTGCTTTCTGAAAAAAGGTTTCATTTTCTGTTTTACATACTGTATGTGAAAAGATGAATTAATGCTCTGAACTTTTCCTCTTCTGCCATCCCAACATTTGAATCAGTTTTTGAATAATGATGGTAGATGAGAACTTCTGTATTAGAATGGTGAAGTTAGAAAGCAAATTACTATCTGCTCTTTAGGTAAAAGGGATTTTAATTTCTCTACTATGCCTACATCAGGTGCATCTTCCAGCCAGCACAACAGACCTGTTTTATAAATCTGTGTAAAATTAAATAAAAAAATAACCCCCCCCAAAGATCACTCATAACAATGTGGAATTTTAAGTTTCTATTTCTAGTCTAGACTTTTATAGGAAGAATAGTTTACTATAAAATATCATCCCAAACAACTCCTGAAATTACAGAGATTTTTCAGAGGTTAGGGGAAGGTGTATTGGTAAGGAATTACTGTATTGAGGAAGAAAAAAATATTTTTTAGCCATCTTAAATATTTCAAGAGGTAAATTGCTAATAAGGTCCATGTGACATGGCACAAATGTCAATCTAATATTTGATTCATTATAATATCTTTAAAGTTGTAAATCCGGACTGCAGTTGTTGAAATGCAGATTTTTATCTTTAACTTCTGCAGCTGATGGGACAGTTGACAGTGGCCAGGGGTCATCTGTTTATACCGAATCATGTGTGAGCAGTCAACAGACTGTGTCGTATGGTTCCCAGCATGACCAGTCAATCTCAACAGCTGCAGTCCAGGGTTATGCAGCTTCAGTTGGCCAAGTGCAGTCGCAACAGCATGGAGGATATCAGCCACCTGCAGCGGTAAGCCAGAATTTAGAGTATTGCAAACGCATGGAATTATTTTATTTTGTATTTCTCTTGAAAGGTGAAAGGAAAGTCTGCCAGGCGCTCTTCCATGTACAGGGTTTCTTTTTTGGTGGGGGTTTTTGTTTGTTTGTTTTGTTGCATGTGATACAAATTCTGCATGGGAGTAGTTAAGGAGCTATTTTTGCAAGGTGACTGAGTCTGGGGGGGAGGGGACGTGCAAGGACATACTTGTCTTTAAAGCTTTTATTTAATTTTGAGGGCACTTAAGCAGAATGATGGATTAGGTCTTTTATGGATGGAAGTAACATCCTCAGAACAAGACTATCGCATGGAAGTAAGCATTTAATCTAACGTGAAAGATGGTGTGTGTATATGAAGTTACCAGGGATCAAGTTGTTGGTTTGATTTGAAGAAGGGATTAGAATAATTTGAGCTATTACATAAGTATGAAATTGCCGTACATGTTCTGTGAGGTTTTGATTACAGATTCTGCAGGTAAGATTTTTTTTAACTGTTATAGAATGCTGCATGTGAGAACTCCAGACTGAAAAGACCCCACACCCTTGTTCCCAATTTTATTTCTAGCTTGTGTTGATTTGCTCATCAGTTGCCATGCGTATTCTTTTTCCCTGGAAAGTCTGCACTGGGCACAAATACTTTTCCTACTATGTTCATTTGTGTTGCCCTTTTATTTTGGTATGTTTTTTTCCTTGGTATGTTTTTAGATCTGCGTATGACAGTATGCAGAAATCTATTCTAACTCTGGATTAGAACTTCTGCTACTGTTATATTGTCTTCAGTGGTTCCCTTGTCACTTGTTTTTTACACAAATAAAAATCTAAGCCTGAGGCAGAAACGTTATGGTATAATGTAGTAATACCACAAGGGAGAAGATATGACACTTAAAGACTGAGTCTCCTCACTTTTTTTTGGTACCTGTGGTTGTAGGCTTTATTACAGAATCATTGGTGTTACTAGTTTATTGGAAAACACGCTGGTTTTGCTCACAAGCAAAGCATCTCCATCTTTTTCAAAGGATTTAACCTGAAGCGTGTGGTACTGCTAGTCTTTGATCAAATGAGGTTTTAATCCCTCTAAATAAGCTCTCGTTCTGGCTAAGCCGTATTTTGATGTGTGGGCATATATTGGACCAGGAGCCATTTCCCTGTCTTTGGATGGCTAGTTTCCAGCTTGAAAGACCATAATCTTTTGAGAGGGAATGGGAGAACAAACATGTGATAGAGGTGTAGTAAAGCTGTTTAGTTCACTGTTAAAATGTGCTCGTGCTCTATGATGATGACACTGGTACCAGGAGCTTGACAGAACGGAGTAGAACACTACAGGAACTACTAACCGTTTGTTGGAAAGACAGGATGACAAGTCAAAATGATACTGACAACTGGAGAAATGGCCTTAAAAAGAAATAGAACACAGTTCAATCAGGACAAGAACAAGGTTCATGCTTAAACAGGAATAATCAACTACACAAGTACAGGATGAGCAGCAAATGACTAGGCAGCAAATCTGCCAAAAAAAAAAAAAAGTCAGGGATTACATTGGACCACCAGCTGCACATGGTCAAAAACATCATGCTGTTGTGAAAAAGGCAAACATCATCTTATGTGAAGTAGTTCTGCTTTTGGTCATTGGTAAGTCTATCCTGGACACCCTGCTTGAGGGTGAATTGGGAGAGAATTCAGAGTGACAAAAAAACCCCTACCAGAAATACAGAAAACATGGTTTATGTGGGAAGACTGAAATAGTTAAGCTGAGCTTGTGAAAGATGAGCTTGAGGAGAAAGCTGTAAAGGCTGCTGTAAAATAGGAGGAGGCTCATCAGATCACAACATTGTTGTCAGATAGAATAAGAAATAATAAACCTAAATTGCAGCATGGAATTATTGCTTGGGAAGGGGTTTTGTGTTTTTTTTCCTCCCCTAACCAACAAGAACAGTTTAGTGCAGTCTCTATCACTGGAGATATTTCTGAACAGTTTAGATAAAATTGAGTCAGGAATGACATATATAACTGATCCTGCCTTGGAGCAGGTGAAGATTATGGATAAAGTATTTATTTAACCCTTTGAGTTCCCTTATGCCTCTCTCCTAAATTTTTGAGGAGTCTAGCAAGATTTCTCACATCAGAAATCTTTAAAATCAGATCTCCACTGGATATCTTGAGGCTTTTTCCCCTGGAGGTCTGTATTTGATTTCAGTTAGGTTAAGAAATTGTAGATTACATCCATAAGAGGCATATACCATTAGAGAATGAAAACCCACAGTTGAAGACTGCCTCTTTAAAACATCATCTTTCCATTCACTTAAAAAAACCCCCACAAACAAAAAAACCAACACAAAAAACCACACCACACCAAAAAAAGCAATAATTAAAAAAAACCCCAAAACCTAATTCTGATTCTTCCAATTTGGTTGGATTTTGACCTATGGCCTTCTGGATTGTGGCAAGATTACAAAATTCTGATGCTTGTATTGGCCCAGTGTCTGGAAAATGCTTGTCCAACACTAATTTTACTGAATTTGCCACACATTAAACCAACTCTTTTTTCCATAATTGATGTAGAATGTGTGAAGTTTAAATTTTTATGGTAATGTTTTAGTTAATAAGGAGCCAGCTGCATACAGTTAGTCCACATAATTCAGGCAGGGAAGTGCCCAAGCAGAGAGACTGGTGAGGTGTTATGTGTAAACACACATCCAGTCACTAAACTGAGAATGAATGTTTGAAAGCTCATCAGTTTCTGTTCAGTTTTTTTGTTTGTTTGTCAGACTACCAGATGCTGTGAGTACACACAGTATGGGCCACATCAGTGGTCCCAGAGAAAATATTCTTTCCTGTCAGTTCTGCCTTCCACATGCTTCTTGTAAGGGTACTAGGGAACTTCCCACACTGCTCAGTAACCTAGGGCAAGCTTGGGTCCTCAGAGGTGCACATAATCTGTTTCCAGTGTGTGTTAGCATTCATTCAGCATTTCTCATATCTTCTTGCACACATAGTAGTCAGTATTGGGCCTCTCATTGTGTGTCTGCATTTCTTTTCTACCTCATTATAGTTTTTGCTGGTTTTGTTTTTCATTTTTTTGAAGTGTTCAATTCTTAACTTTTGTTTTCCTCCTTTAGCCTCAACGTGGTCGTAGCATGTCAGTTTGTGTCCCCCACCTTCCTGCTCTTCCCTCTATGTCCTGCATCCCTCTCAGTGCTCCTTGCACCCCACCACCAGCGCTGTCTGCACCTCTTTCTCCTTTCTACCTTCGGACTGTCCCTGAAGAAACCTTTGCAGAAAAGCTTTCTAAAGCCCTGGAAAGTGTCCTGCCCATGCACTCTGCCTCTCCACGCAAGCATCGACGCTCCAGCCTGCCCTCCCTCTCTGTCAGTCCTGTATGTGTTACCATTTGCCTCCTGGCACAGTAAGATAAGTTATCATTAAATACATCCTGGGCTTCGGGCATTTTTAAAATGAGAAAATGAAGAGCTGATTCCTTATTCCTTATACTGTGCTGCTGGAACGTTGATCTTTTCTGGGAAGCAGTACACTTAAACATTATCAAAATGGTGGCTGACCATTTGGTTTTTTGTATTTTAGGATGTTATAAATGTGAGTTACCCAGTTGTACCACAGAAGATAAAGGGAAGACTAGTTCTTATCCCCTTAAATCAGAAGACCAGCTTCTTATTTTCCAACTTCTAAGCAAGCATTGAATGTTAATTAAGCCCTGCAGAAAACAGGGCTTAAAGTTTTTAAAGCTTGGCTGCTGTGGCTGGTTATTTTAAAGGTTTGGCTAGCTATGGTAGTGATACTAGAAATTCAGAGTATGAATACTTTTGAGGATTTTTCTGTAAGTCTTAATCAGAAATGCCACTTCAGTTGCTTCTTGATGGGAAGAAGCCGTTGTTTCATGTTTCTCAGAAGGTTAGATGCGAGATAGCTTGCAGGACAGGAGGTAGTCTGTGTTCAGTTTTGGGCTTTGATTTACATGAAATAAAGTTTGAGAAACATTTCTTTAACTGAAGTATGTGGCACTAGTTTTCAGAACATAGGAAGAGTTCTTCATCCTGTAGGACCTTCTTGTTAGTGTTTGTCAATATGGAAATTTGCTGCTGCTTTTCCAGCAAAAAGGGGCTGGGGAGAAACAGAACAATGTGGAAACAGCAACTTGAAAAAGCCATAAATGGCATCTGTCTTAAAGACAGTATATTTGCTACTGATGCTTGAGTATTTTTTTTTTTTCCCCTTCATGGTTGATAATATGTTGTCTCTCAGTATACTGTGGGCAGAGACGAAAAACCGGAGAATTACAAAGTTGTTTGATATTCTTACATAGAACTCTCTTTAGTGAAATTTTCCCTCCAAATCTTAAATAAGATAAGCCTCATCTGAAGTAGTACATCAGATGGAGTGGAATTGCCTGCAGACTCTGCTGTTATTAAACCTGTGAATATTTTATTGTCCAAGCAAGAGTTAGGTTTGTTTTAGTGAGTGCTAATTTCCTATGTGAAAAAGGTATGATCAGAAGTGATCAAATGGATCAAAAGAGATGATTGAATTGGGCAGAATTGAAAGGCTCTGCAGTTTTATCATACCTTTTTTTCATCTGTGGGCTGGAATAGTTCAATTTTGTCTCGTAAAAAGTTTCTCTTTAGCTCCCGAGATTGCATACAGAACACTCCAGACAGGACACTAGCACTGTGGTTTTTGCATTGGATAATACGAAGATTTAATAACATTTTATCTTCTAAATGCAATCTAGAGGCTCTGTATTGTTGCTGATACCAAGTTGTGAATTTTCATAATCCCCATATGACAATAACCTCAGAGGTTTGATTGGCTTTCGAGCACTGATCACAATGGGTAGCCTGTGACAACAAATCTAATTATATTGTCAGGAGAAAAACTGTTTTATTTTTGTGAATTATTGGAATTGGACTGGAAAAGCAGCTCTAACCCAAGCAAATATTTCCATTTGTAGCTATGCCTGCCATGGATGTATTTAATGGATATTTACAACTCACCTAAATTTCCTAAGTATTGTATGTTTTTGACCATGAATTGAGTAGTCATTCTATAAAGTTACTTCACAGAACTGCCTAGTGAACTGTGCGTGTTGATGTGCTTTCACTTTTAATGTATGAATTACTTGTCTTGTTCATGTCAATACAGCCTCAGCATCCGCGTGGGGGAACACCAACGTTCCCAGATTCACAGATATTTTTCCCAACCGTTCACGAACGGCCGGTGTCTTTCTCGCCACCACCTGTCTGCCCGCCGAAGGTGGCAGTTGCTCAGCGACGCAAGAGCACTTCATTTTTGGAAGCCCAAACTTGCCATTTCCAGCCATTGCTGAAGACTGGCCAGAGTTTAGTTCCACCTGGTGGTAGTCCCACCAATTGGACACCAGAGGCGTTTGTTATGCTGGGCACAGCAGCTCAGAGAGTCGCTGGAGAGCCTCTGCATGTGCAAGTTAATCCTGTGTTTGAGCCAGCTCCTGTCCACAGTGACTATAGATCTGGACCAACACCTCCAGAGGATGCTCACTACAGAATGCATCCAGAAGCTGTATATTTGGTGGGCATGCACTATCCATCACAGGTATCGGAGCAGTATGATCAAGTAGCTTATAACTCTCATGCGACTGAACAACATTTGAAGCAGGTCTCTGAGTCAAACCATGGGCAAGGTGGTCCTCCACAAAGCTCTGTGTTCGACTTTCAATCGGGGCAAACATACCTGGCAAGACATGTTCAGAACCTGAGGCTGGATTCTGGGATGGGTCCCCTTTCTCCATTATCCAGTGTTTCAGCTCCTCTGAGTGCAGATCCTGCTCAGATGACGTTCCACCAGGTATTTGTTCCACACTCTGCCCCGGCTGTGCTCTCTCACAGTGGTGATGGCAGAGCAAGCTGTGTCTTTGAGTTCCATGTGCACACACCAACTTCTGCTCCAGCAGAAGGGGCAGTTTTACCCCAGCGGGTCTACAGAAGTCGCCGGGGCTCTATGGAGACCAGTCAAGAGGAATCCACTCAAGGCATAGGGTCGCACAGTCGGCTTCAGCCTGTGACAGAGGAGCAGTGTAACTATCTTGGTCCTGAGTTAGCAGGTCCCAGAGGGGGCTCTGCCAGGCGGAGCTGGCCGGAAGGAAGCCCAGAATACTCCAGTGATTCCTCACAGCTGACTTCCTCTGACACTGGCGATTTCCAGTCTCCTCCCCCTACAGGGGGATCATCTGCTGCTTTTGGTTCAGACTTCTCATTGCCCATTGTTCAGCTGCCTCAGAAGGTATTGCAAGAGTCGCAGCTCTTCATCTGCTTCCCCCAGGGAGCCTCGACTCAGCAGGCCTTGTCCACCTCGCTTTCATCAGGACCACCTTCACTCTATCCTCAGGTTACAGGAGCAACCCTTCCAGCATGTCTCTGCTTTTTATAAGTCATACCTTGCACTTAAAGAGGACCCTTGTTCTTAGACTTGCTCCATGGGGTTCTAAGTATCAGTGTTCATGGGGGTGTCTTGCCACCAAGTCAGTAGTATACTGGGATCTCTTTACTTACCAGGTTGCAATGAAATAACGAGGCATCAGCAACCATTTGGTCTGTGTTCAGCTTCAGCTGAAATACTGGTAGGGCTTTTGTGTTAAGGGTAACAAATGGTCAGCGTTCCTCCTGAGCCTAGTTTTTCTTTTGGCAAGAGATAGCTGGAGTACCAAATTGGCTTTTAAACAAAATTAAATTGGGTTTAATGAAATGTATTTTCTCCGCAGTTTGAATCAGCAGTGATAGTAACACTTGCTTTGTATTTTTGTTCCTGCTCCTTAGCCATTTATGAGAATGTGTTATTTGAAGTTGAACTTGCATATTAATAATGTTTCATTAGACAACACTAAGGTTAATTTGGTGACTGTCCAAAATGCAAGAGCTTTTTCTAGACTTGAGGAAGAAAGTGGGAAGAGAGGAATGGAAGGAGCTATGTTATGTATGTGTACATGGTTTTGGAAATGTACTTGCAGGATCATAAAAGAAACTAAACAATGAGTAGTAAATTAGTGGCACAAGCAACTGTTGCTAATAAGTGTTGCTTCCTTGTAAGCCTAGAATACGGTGTCCTTTTAAAAAGCAAAATTTGAGGCCTGAAGCTTAGAGGTACGTGTCCCATCAGCATATATGGTATTCGCACTTGGAATAGTCAGTAATGCATTTGTACACTGTGACTGTGAGGTGTATGTGTATATACATTGTGTCTGCATTTGTAGTCTGAAACTTTTCATAAGGTGTTTTTTGTGAAAAGAGAGGATTTATTTTAGAGTTCTCTCTTACTCTTGTTCTTGGAATTAGGGGCTCTCTGACATTAGTTACTGGAGTATTAGCAACTTTGGGATTTGTGTGAAGGAGCTAGAGGAGAATCTTTTTGCTTTTTGTGGTAAGATCAAGAACTAAGTATTTTAAGGCTTTCTGTGTGGGATAATAAAGGTGTTTTATTAAAGCTGAAGCAGCTTTAATAATTAGTCTAATAGATAGTTATTTCTATGCTGTAGGAGAACTTGTGGAGTGAAGCTGCTACACAAGAAGTGTGAAAGTTACTTGGGGATTGTTTCTCCATAAACCACCTCTATTAAACTTCAGGAGGTGACTTCTGATGAATGTAAAATACCTCTGAAAAACACAATAAGGGATCATGATTACTTTAGAGAATATAAGTTCTGAGATTTTTTTATCTAATTCATTAAAAGATCAGAATTTGAAGCACAAACTGTGTCAATGTGAACAGATGTTACAGCATGGGATACAGCACACCTTTAGATCCTAGCCAATGAGGGCCTTGAGCTTCTAAAACACCAAAGAAAATAATGATTCTTTTCATTGGCAGTCTGCTTTCCCCAAAGTTTCTATAATTATAGTAGTATGTAATTTTAATAAACTTGTTCCTAATAAGCTTCTACAAGCTGAATGATCACAGCATGAAGGAATTTTCAGATCTGTTTCTTACAACGGCAGTTCACCAAAGCAGTGTATGCTCAGGGTACTCATCTGGAGGTCTTTGTCTAGGTGTCTCCCAGGATCTGATAAAAAAATATAATGGCCACAGAAATAATGATGAAAATCTTGGGATCTGATAAAAAATGTCGGCCACAGAAATAATGATGACAATCCATTCCATTTTCCTCTGTCTTCCACATTCATTTGTATGCCACTCATTAAATTTTTTGTTGTTGTTGTTTTGTTGCTTATTCGTTCAAAAATTATGTCTTAGCTATATGTGGACCCCCAGATTCTTCAATATCCAATTCTTGGTAGCCTTTGATTATTAGTGAGTCTGGAAATGATTTCTAGCTTGTATTTTGACATGCCTCTCAAAGGGAACTCATGACATGTACATATATTAAGTACTTTGTTATTGGTCTAGAATTCTGTACATCTTTGATTATTTTTTTTAACAGATAGTTTTGTTTCCTTCTAACCTCCTTCTATCCCCCCACCTAACTGTGTTTAGAACACATGTAAAGGTAAAACGTAACGCCTCTATTTCCAGTTATCGTAACAAGGCATCCTGCTCTTAAAGCATCATCAGTGGAAGAAGAAGCTGGTAGGCTGATCTGTCTCATGTTGAGGGGCACGTGGGTTGCAAAGACTTTCTGTGTTGGTCATTTTGGAAGACTTAAAATGGAGTTCCATATTTTTCTAGATGGCTCTGCTTTGTTCTGGTTGTCGTAGTGGAATTTGGCCAGTAGGACTGCTTGTCCAAAAGGACAGCTAGAAACCTACTCCAACCAGATCATTCCAGGCAGAGGTGATTTTAACTGCTTGCTGCAAAAACCGTAGGGATTTTTAAGCTGATTCTGTGTCTTTTTTCTCCTCCAGACGCAGGTGCAAGGTCAGTCAGCCTCAAGCAGTGCATCGGTGCCATCCCAGCCTACCCAACACACTCAGCAGGTAAGATCACAGTCCCTAAACCCAGGAATAAATTACTGTTAGTGTAGGATTTTTATGACTCTTTAAGAGCAATTGACTACCTCTGTCCCCCTTTCAACCCTTAGTTTTGGACAAAAATAAAGGAATCCTGTGGTTCTCACCCAATCTAACATACGATGAGATTAATGTCATTGACTTTCGGAAATTTATTTTTAGAATCATGTTCGTACTTGTTTTCATGTGTCTGTCTTCCCCAACTTCCACCTGAGCTTGTCAGGATTTGCAAGTTAGACTGTCTAGACAGGCAGACTTCATTCTCATGATTTCTTCTAACTGGAAATACTATCTTCTGCCACATCCTCTTCTCTTAACTGCCTTTTCTTCCTTTATAGAATCTTCATTCTTGTTTTCACAGGTGAAATAATTCTATTGCAAGATTTGGTGCTGATAATGGAGTTGTATTAGTAATGCTAATTAGTAATTGCTGAAGCTTAAGTGACTCAGCATATTCAGAAGAACTACTGATGTCACTTATGAAGGAGTAAAAAGTAGAATTTAAATAGGATATGCTTTGAAAACTTCTGTGGGGGAAAAAAAATAGCTTCTGCCTCTTTTCCCTACTACAGAATGCACAGCAGCCAGCCTCTTCCCAACAGCCTGGACAATACCAGTTGCAGCAGCCATCAGTTTCTGCTGGCGCCACTCCCACACAAACTGTCTCTCAAACTCAAACTTCACAGATTATGCCAATGCCTCAGGCAGCAACTGGGACACAGGTAAACAAAAATCTTCTTTGTAGCAGAAGACTTTTTTCTTCTTCACAGCTGGCAAATTCAACATGCTGCTACTTTCACTTTTGTCATCTTTTCTAATGGTTCCAAAATATTCATCCAGATAATAGTATTCTTGGTGTACTACAACTGTCAGTTTTGTTGGAAAATGTGTTGGAAACCCTTTCTTTCACACGTGGCAGTCGTGAGTAATTTGAGGGAGGGCTAGCACTTCCATGCACAAAGATCTTTAAATTGTCAAAAATATCATGAGGCATATTGATGAATGGTATATTATGAATGGATTTTCAGGAACTTGTCATTTCTCTGCTTCCCATCAATGTCTATCTTCTGCACCGTTATGTGTGTAAAACACATTCACTTATTTAGGTAGTGAACCATAAGGACTGCCTTCTCCACTCTGTCATCTTTCTTATTCAGCTCTTCTCCTTTACTCCCTGGTCAAGAAGCTTCTGTTACTGAGTATTACTTCATTGTGGCTCATATCTCTATCTTGAACATGTGAGCCTTGATTTTGTTTTTGAAATTGTTGTTTTGTTGCTTGTTCATCTAAACTGCCTTTCCAGTTGCATCATTTGCTGGCTTTAATTGACATATCCCCTGCCATTCTCTAAACACTGGCACAGTGGCTTTTTATTCTCCATTGCTTTAGTCCCCATACCCAAAGCTGACAGATTTGTTGAAAGATTTGCACTTCTTTCCTGTAAGAAGGCAGGTTTGGCTCTGGGGACAGAGTTGAGGGGAATTTGATTCTGTTTATGCACAAGTCAGTGCTTCAGGGTATTCAAACATTGCTCTTTCACCCTCTCTGAGTGTCTGTTTCAAGAGCCTGTTGGGTTCTTCGGGGGAAGTGTTGCAAAGTGAGGACCTTTTGGAACTCCAGCCAACTTCCCAGCCACTCTGCCAACTGTGCTCCCCACCCACTCTAACAGAGTGCTGTAACTTGAATAATTCTTTCTTTGACTAATGCGTAAAAATTCTGCTTTCTGCAACCCTGCTTTTAAAAAAAAAAAAATCTATCTCTATTTTCTTTACCTCCCCAGCTTCCTGTTTCCCAACCAGTGTCGATCATCCAAGGCGAGCCTCAATTACCTGTTGCAGCACCTTCTCTCCCTCAGCCTTCAGTTGCCCCATCAGTCCCCATTGGCTCTCATTTTCTACCCATGGGACAGCCCTTGCCAACTTCCATGGTTCCCCAGTTCTCAGTCTCTCAGTTGCCCGTAGCAGCTCCTCATGTGTCAGTGGCCCAGCCAGGTTTCCAGTCACTGCCCATCTCAATGGCAGCTGGCATGAATCAGCCATTGCTCACACTGGCAACATCTGCTGCGGCAACCGCTGTCCCTGTAGGATCAACTGTTGTCCCTAGCCAGCTTCCCACACTGATGCAGCCTGTGGCTCAGTTGCCCAGCCAGGTTCTCCCGCAGATCCTGCAGCCGGCTGTCCAGTCCGTGGGATTGCCAGTCAGCATTGGACAAGCTGCTGAAGCTTCACTTCCTGCTGGAGATGCTCTTTACCAGGTATAGTTGCAAGCCAGCAGAGCTCTTCTCCACATTTTTACCTGTTCCTCTAAGGTACCAGATCTGAACTGTGTGCCCTGGCCAACTCACTTCTCATAAGAGAGCCATTATACCACGAAGATGAATTCTGTTGCGTGGTAAAAGTCCATTTTGGGGAGGGGGAGAAGTCCTTGGACACCCTGGTGTTTTGAGTTTTTAATATTTGGCAATGGAATTTGTCTAAAATGACAGAATCATAGTGCAGGACTTTGGTCAGCCACTGTGTGAAAGAGGACAGCTGTACATCCAAGAGATTTGTCAACTTGGAAAAAAAATAAATAATTGTGATTTTAAAAATGGGGGATATGTGTTGGAAAGAAAATCAATGGCAGCTTATTCAGCAATGGCAGTATTTCATTCCAAGTCTGGGAAGGGGAAGGGAAGTGGGGAGGAGGGACACGGATTTTCTAGAAATAAGTCAGATGGTATGGATCTTGAATGTGACGTAAGTACCTGATGCTAGTCGTGAAATTCCAGACTGTTGGGCACAGACTGCTTCAGCCACTTTGTGCAATCACTGTAAAAATGCCAGTCTGAATAGTGACAAAAATAGTGAGTCAGCATATGGTTGTTCTTCTAGAACAAAAGTTGTATAGATGTAGAAATATCTGCACTGGGGTTATAAGGAGCGCTGTAGAACAGAAGTGGCATGTAGGAATGTTCCTGGGTCAACTCATTACGAGACGACAGGAAGAACACGAGCGTTTTTGCTATTAGACTCAAGAATCGGCAGCAGTTGCATAACATCTTCTAAGCAGTAGTTGTTCAGCCTGAAAATTCTTGAAGTTCATTTCAAGTCTTAGCCCTTAAAACATTAAGCCAAACAGACAACTGCAGGTGTTGGGAGATGAAGATTGTTTTGCCTAAGACTTGGAACTTTGAGTGGGAATTTGCTTGTTGAAGCATGGTGACTCGCAAGCTGAGCTTTGGCTACATGAACAGTTTGCTCTGCTTCTCTGGGAAAGTAGTCTTTGGGAGTGCTTGAACAAGTACGGAAGGTTGGAACGTGCCCCTGAAACTGGTACTTTTTTTATTCTCTTGTTTCCTAATGAGCTCTGACATTCACTAACTTGACTCCCTCATTTCTATTACAGGGCTTCCCATCTCGGCTGCCACCTCAATACCCAGGCGACTCGAATGTTGCATCTTCCTCTGCCGTGGCCTCTGTTAGCATTCCTTCTGCCGTGCTGTCCCCTCCCTTACCCACAGATGCAATGGCTCAGCCGGGCTATCGTGCTCCTGTTGTGCAGCCGTATGTGGAGCAGAACGTTTTAGTTCCCATGGGCAGCCTAGGAGGACAGGTTCAAGTGCCCCAGCCTACAGTGAGTTTAGCACAACAGGCCTCATCTGCCTCCTCACAGCAGGCAGTTTTGGAGGTAAATATGTTGAATATAATGTAACAATACATTTAGGGTGTTTGAATAATGCAACAGTGTATATGTGTGGGGGAACTAATGCCTTCCATGCTTGTCTTCAGTTGGAAATTAATCTTTCAAATGACCTTTTTCTTACAGCAGAATGTCATGCCAATGTGGGGACCTTGTTGCCACTGGTTGTTCTGTTGGGAAGTGAGTGTGCATCCTGCAGGCAAAAACCTGTTAACACTTCACTTCTTGCTAGTACTGTAGAACATTTTTGCCTTATCAAAGACAAACTGCAACCGGTAGCCCTTGAGAATCTGTCTTATGCCTATTCCCTGCAGCGTTGTTCTTGCTAGGGAGAATTTGAATTGTCTTTCTGTTCTGCATTGGCTTGCCTTTTGCACATTCTGTTAGTAAGACCGTGGCTGCATGGCAAACTGTAGTGACACGCAGCAGTAGAAAGGATGGCTGATTTCCTCTCCTTACCCCTTCCCCAGATGATGATTTGCTTCACTGCAGTTTGCTCTAAAATCTTTTGTAAATCAGAGCTGTCTAGATGCCAGCTGTTTGAAGTTCTAAAAAGGTAGTGCTTTTAGCTTTCAACTGATTTGGGAGGAAACAGTGAAGACTACTGGGTTACTTGAAAAGGAATGGTATTCCCTGGGGGGGATTCTTGATGTAGGTTTCTATCCATAGGGTACTCAGGGAGTCTCACAGACTGCTCCTTCAGAGACTCTTCCAGCAACACAGCCTGCTCAGTCTACCCCTTTGGCTTCCTCTATGGATAGGTAAGTACTGTTTTCTTTTCACCAAACTGAATTTCAATTTCATGTGTTAGATTATTCTTCCTTGGGTGATCTTTAGGTATCTTTTTTTTCACCAGGGATTTTTTTTTTCATGGAGGGTATTTCTGAGGATGTGAGGAAATAAACTTCCTAGAAGAAAAATAGGCTTATGAGAGTTGGAGGAAGTTTTGATTTACAGCAGGGTGTATAGAGAGGATTGTATATAGTGATTTAAATTCTAATACTTTATTTGTCATGTCAAATGGATCATAAGGGATGTTTTTCTGTCCTTTTGGCACTTAAACAGAATTCAAACTCCAAATGGCTTGAAAACATATTCAGAAGATCTATTTGTATAACTCCGTTTGCAAGAGAGATGTAGCTAAATAATTACTATTAGAACTGCTATTCAAGCAACCCTAAGTGTTGACAGGACTCTTCTCCCCTGTTTCGTGATTAGCAGGCATCTACTGCTATCCAGAAGAGAATACATCTGGTAGGGTAAACTGTATTGTTGCAGTTACGGAGTGTATGGATGCTAATGTAAAGTTGTTGGGTTTTTTAGCGCACATTCCGATGTTGCTTCAGGATTGAGTGATGGCAACGAGAATGTTCCAGCTTCTAGCGGAAGGCATGAAGGGAGGACTACTAAACGTCATATGCGGAGGTCTGTCCGTAGTCGCTCTCGTCATGAGAAGACTGCTAGGCCAAAACTCAGAATCCTAAATGTGAGTATTTTTATATTTTAGTGATTGTTTGGTAGTGATGATGCCTTTTTTGAGCTTCAAAATTTTCTTTTCTTGGAGGAATGTGTCTTGTGTGGTCTTGTTTCCCCCACCACCACCTCTGAGCATACAAGCTATCCGGTGTATTTCTTCTGCTTTTGGAGTCAGCATTCCAAATGTATCTATTAAGAGATTTTTTGGAGCATCAAATATGGCAGAATTGGCTTGCTTAGCCATGAGTGATTCCACGGACTATTCTAGAATATTTGAGTTAGTCTTACTAGTTAAGCTAGACCAGTGACCTGAACTGTAAGCTAGAAAGAAACAAGGGATCATCAGGAGTTGTAGAGAAAAATGTGGGCAAGGTGAGCTTGGAGGGTTGAGTAATTGGCAGATCCTCAGAAAAAATGATGCTGTACATGGCACCATTTATGAGACCAGAAAGAGAGAATGTGTTTGTATTAGAGCAGTACTGTTGGTCTACCTCTGTGAGCTTTAAAGCACAAGTCTTACATTCTCATGCTTTTGGTTTGAACTATTGTTGTCTTTGCTTTAGGTTTCAAATAAAGGTGATCGGGTAGTGGAATGCCAGCTAGAGACACACAATCGGAAAATGGTTACTTTCAAATTTGATTTGGATGGTGACAACCCTGAGGAAATAGCATCAATTATGGTAAGATATATTTTAGAGATGAAGAACTGAATCCAGTCTTAATCACAGTAGTCATATAAGCAGTCTTATTTTCTCATTGATGTTTCAGAATTGCTCTTCTGTGTAGCATGGCCCGTGCTCACCTTATTAGTATGCGAGCACAACTAGAGACTCTGGGCACAGAGTGGTACATCAAATTGAGAGTTCATATTGCATACTCAGTTCACTGAAAATTTGCATCAGTTCTTACCTTAGAATTGTGATTTTTATCAAGTAAATCTGCTTTTGATTTTTTGCAATTTAATTTTTTTGAAAAACTGCAAACAACTTTCTGAAAGCACCAGGTTAAACAAAATCTGTTTGCTTTTCTAAGAGCAAGCATTGCTAGATCTTTACATCTTACAGTTAAGCTTTGAGTCTTTAGCTGTTGTTCTCAAGTGAAACTGCAAGATTCTGCCCTTAAAGTAAAGTTTGGGAATCACTTTCTGGTTTCTGAAAGTCAGTAATGATGAGCACTGCTTTTGACTTTCTTGAAGGCAAACCCCTTTCCATTCAACGTATAATGGTCAAGCATAGAAAAGAACTTGCCCTCTAGAGATATGTTTCAATAAGAGTACTTTGTAGCATGGAATAGAACCTCCCTCCATATTTGTTTTTTTTACATTTAAACTTTTATTGCTCGGCTGGTATGATCTGAATGAAACTGATGGTTTTAGTGTTACCGAAGCAAGGGGGGTGACAAAAACAAATACCCTTTGCCAGCTTCTTGGGCGCCTGTGCAATATTCATTTTAAACTTGTTTCTTCCAACACAAGCAGCAGAATGTATTTTTATAAAAAACAATGCAATGTATTGAAACTAGATATGCTGAACAATTTTCCTCTCCCCCTATAGGGAACATAATCAACATTTGTATTTATGTACTACAGTCAAACATGGTGATGTGCAACCGGCATAGAGCAGGAGTTGTATATGGCATGGAAAGAGAGAAGCACAGGACATATCTTGCAATACAGAATTTTCAATTTTTTTTTTTAAATATTATAGTTTCTTTTAAATGTGGCTCTTCGTATCCAATGTAATGTACATTAAGAACTGCAGTAAGATAAGGCTGCTAATTTTAAATTTCACTGTGCTAAGCAAAGACTGAGGTGACAGTTTGATGAAAAAGTGAGATGGAATGTTTTTCCACAACAGAGAGTAAACCAGGGCAAATACTTCTGTGCTAGAGATTAATTTTAGAAACAATTGTTTTTCTTTAAGGCGGCACCATCTTTATCTTGTGCGTAAGAACAGTGAAGGGAGGACAAACAGTAACACTGAAAGTAAATGATGGTTATTCAATACGTATTTTGAAATAATTTGTGGAAAATGATTGTTGCTTTGTTGTCTTTACAGGTGCAGAATGAGTTTATTTTAGCAACTGAGAGAGACTCCTTTGTAGAACAGGTACGAGAGATTATTGAGAAAGCAGATGAAATGCTAAGTGAGGATGTAAGTGTGGAACCAGAAGGTGATCAGGGTTTGGAGAGTATGCGAACAAAAGATGATGGCTTCTTTCCAGGGTCGCAGGTACGTAAAGGACAGATTGCTGTAGCTATTTGTATTTTCCATTTTGGGTGGTATGGTTTTGTGAGTAGAGCTAGCTAGAAACTGAAACTTTTTGATGAGAAATATCAAAGCTTAATAATTAAATTAAAAGACAGAGAAAGCTTCATATCAGGGTGAGAGCTTAAAACTCATCTAGAAAGCTAAATAATGTAGATCTCTTGCTTTCTGTTGTGTTCTAACCCTTCTGAAGCTGCTGAATCTCCTAACAGTCCGCTAAACAGTCGGTCTCAAATGCCGAAGCTTCTTGGATTTGAGGTTATTGTGAGGCAGCCCTGTGCTGCTCACTAAACACTGAGAGCCTGGACTCGAGCCCTCTGCCCACTGAGCTACTAAGAGTTTGGATGGCTCGGTTAGAAAACACAGGTTTTGAAACTGATTCCTGGGAATAAGGGGTGACATTTCCTGAATCTCTGCCTTATTTCCACCCACAACGAGTTTGAAACATCCATTTATCTGCGGAATGTTTAAGGAAATCGATTTGACTGCCAGGTAACAACAGAGTGTTTAGATCAATTTGTTATATTGATGGTCACTAAGCTGAGAAGCTCTAAAAGCACTCTAGCTGATCTGGGGAGAATTCCACTGGTTTGGTAATGGTGCTTGGGTCAAAGGTACTGCTTACCTTAAATGCCCACATTTCAGTAAGCTAGCATTTTAAGAACTATCTTGTGGGTTTCTATTTCAGAATAGAACTTTAAATTTTATCTTACTTTACAGAAATTAGAATTCAAACAGCCAGATCCTACATCTTCCATGCCACAAAGAATAGGTAAGTCTTTTGTGATTTTTTTTTTTTCAACAGTTATCTTTTTCTGTTTCAGCGGATGGGTGCAGCCAAGTTTTTATTTTGGAGTTTTATGATGGAGTGCACATTCCATGTTGCAGGTTATGTATTTAGTTACAACAATGTATCACTAAACATGCAACTTCTTTCTGTTTAGGGGTTCCTCCTAGCTCCTTTACCCAGGTTGTCCATTCTGCAGGAAGACGGTTTATTGTCAGCCCTGTCCCTGAGAGTCGGTTAAAAGAACAGGGCTTTTTTGCATCTGCTATTCCTGGAGGAAAAGAAACTTCGGATATGGGTAAGTTATCTAAACTCTTAAAGACAGCTAAGACGTGTTCATCAAAACTGTTAAGTTAGTTAACTAAGCTGTTCCTAAACACCTTTTAAAGTACTTAGGGAAATAAGGAACTGTCTGTGCTGGTAAGAAGTGATGGTAATTTGGGTGATACTATGCAGGATTCTCAGGGGAAAAAATGTTGATGGGCTGTCTGCAAGACTCTGAAACCTTAATACTGTGTTTTAATGTAAGCCTGGATTTGGTGTTTGTCTTTGTGGGGTTTTTTTATTACGCTGAGAGATCTATGTGATCTTACCCTAGCAATAGACAATAATACTATAATGAACTCTTCCAGGTGGACTGACATTTTTCTGTTCTTCCAGTTGCTGCATCTCCACTACATGGTCCTGGAATGAATCTCTCCCACTCAGCATCATCACTGAGCTTGCAGCAAGCTTTCTCTGAGATGGGGCATGCTCAGATGACAGAAGGACCTAGTACAGCTCCCCCAGTGTTCAATCAAACAATACCACCTTTTCCACCTGCACTTTCTACCATGGCGGGCAGTGGTGCACCTCCTGCATCTGTGGCTGCTTCTTCAATATCTGTTCCCTCCAGCACAGGTGCTTCTCTTCCAGGGTCTGTTACTTTGCCTTCAGAAAGTGCAGCTGTTGGAGTTGCACCAAGCGCAAGTGTGCCAAGCTCTGTTTCTCCACCTCCAGCCTCACAATCTGGACAACAATCGACTGGTGTCACTTCCAGTGTGAGCGCCCCTGCTTCCTTCTCCTTACCTACTACATCCCAGCCCGCTCAACCAGTAACTGGAGACATTGCCCCCAGTATCAGCACACCGTCCTCTTTGGCACTGCCATCTACCCAGGTTCCTGGTGTCACTGGTCTTGGTGTTGTTGCACCAGCTGTGACATCTCAGTCTGCTCCTCAGATTGTAAGTAGTATGGCAGCACCACAGACATCTGTTGCCCTGTCTCTGGCTCAGAATATGGCTTTGCAGCTTCCTCAGCTTAGTAGCAGTGGCTCTGTCTCCAGTCTGGCAGAAACAACAGTTGTGAGTGCTCCGCAATCACTACCTGAGAGTGGGCAGTCTATGGATAAATCACAGCTCTGCAATGCAGCTGGCTTATCTCTTCCCATCTCCACACCTTTATCATCCTCAGTAGCAACAAGCGTATGTGGTTCAGTCACTCAGCCAGTGATACATCCTGTACTTGTCCCATCAGGAATTACATCAACACCTGTCCTACCCCAGATTCCAGGTGCAACACCCATGTTGCCCCAGGTTCCCTTACCTGGTGTCTTACCACAACCAGTTACTAACTTGCCTGCAGTCCAGCAAACTTTGATACACAGCCAGCCTCAACCAGCCCCCTTACCCAATCAGCCTCACATTCACTGTCTGGAGGCTGATGCTGATGCTCAGTCTAAAGCTCCTGGTATTGATGATATAAAGACCCTGGAAGAAAAGCTACGGTCTCTCTTCAGTGAACATGGTAACGTGGGAACAGCGCATCCATCAGTATCTCTGGAGACATCGTTGGTAATGGAAACTACAGTTATTCCTGGGATACCAACCACTGCTGTTGCACCAACTAAACCCCTGACATCCATTAGCACTTGTATACCTCCGAGCAGTTTGCCTCTTGGACCAACTGGCTTGCCAGTGCTGACACCAGTTGCCACTCCCGGGCAAGTGATCACCCCAGTCAGTTATATTTCGGCATCGAGCAGCATTGCAACAGCAGTAGTGAAACCAGGGACCTCTCCTTCAAAGCCCCCTCTTAGCAGGGTACCGGTAAGAAATGCAATATTTGTGCGAATATTCAAGTATTGTAGGAAACAGCCACCTTGAGCAAAATCCCTTTTATAAAGCAAAATATTTATTCAGGCAGAGGTGTCTTCATTTAATATAATATTGAAAGTTTTATGCTCTGGTTGTTGTTGGTTGTCCTAAGAGGTGTTTTATTTTG